TTGTATATTGTAGGTAAGCAAGTTATGGGTCTATATTGTGATGGTTGTGATGTGTATTTGCCTTTAGGTAGCATGTATGTTATACCTTTAGCTATGAATGGGGGTGTGCTTTGTTGTCCGTGAATAATGCTGGTAAAATTTTTTGCTATTATTTTGTGAAGTGTAGTGAATTTTTTGTACCAGTAATTGTGAATCCTATCTATTCCTGGTGATTTCCAGTTATGTAACCTGCTTGTGACGAATCTTATATCAGATTCCGTTATGTCTTTGAATTGCATTTCATCTATGCCTTCCCACTTTCTTTCTTCCTCGGTTATCCATGGTGCTTCCTCGTTGTGGTGTACTTCTGTCTCCCAAATACCTGCCCAGAATTCTTCCAAATTATGTATTGCTGGAGTTTCTATGTTACTATTTGTCAGGTTTTCTTTATTTGTATTCAGGTTTCTATAAAATATTTTTTCGTTGGTATGGAACAGTTTATTGTCGTTTTTTCGTTGAAGTGCTTTTTTATATCTAGCTAGTCTGTGCGATTTTAGTGCTAACTTTTGTTTTAGTGTGTCCAGAGCGTCTTCGGGTCTTTTATTGTTATTGTCATGACCGGTGTGTATCCTATTGTTAGTTATAATTTTGTTCACCGTATCTACTATCTTTTTTGATCTATTATTATTTAAATATTGTGTTAGTCTACCGATATTGGATCTAAGTTGCGTTATATCTCTTTCCAGTCTATCTTGCCAAGCTGGCTTTTTATTAATGCGTTGGGGTTTGAGTTGTGATTCGGTGTTATATCCAAGCTCTCGTGTTATTACTAGGGCACTACAATATATGTATGAATATCGGTTTTATTATTATTATTATTATAATTGCATACGTTGATAAAAATGCTATGCAATAGCTTTACCGCGGCAGTTTCCGAATGCCACCCTTTTTTTATGTTACCATCTGGTTTTATGTTCCTGTATTAAAATTTGTTTGTATTAAAATTGTATATTTGATGATTTTAAACAGCAAATTAATGATATCTAAGGTTTTATGGTCAAATCTAAGAAAGTAACCTAACCTAAGCTTTATTACTTACTGGTGGTAGGTCGATTTATGAATCCGCACGGGAAGGTACCATCAGCCTGTCTATCTTTGCCGCGAAACTGCGATACGTTTCGGCTTGAAGGGTGAGACAGCTGATGTACTGTAAAACTGACATAGAACGCATGTCTCAAGGTTGGAGGCGGAATTTATGTGGATGATGTCTATAGGCTGCGATGACCACTTAACACCAGGTGAGCAGTGGGCTTGTCCATGCAATACTGTCTACTAAGCAACGACATCCGTTCGTTGGAGGATCGTCTCTTGGCTATGAATAAGTATTCCATTAATCCCAATACCAATTCAGTATCTCTTCCTCTGCACCAATGGTACATTAAAATCGCAGACTCGAATATTCAACAGCATTCACAACAAATACACGTCGCGGTGAAATTCGAATTGCGACCGGTCGAGTTGAAAGCAAAATGTATTTTCAACTTTTTCTCCTCAAACTAATATCGTGTTTGTGTCCCAAACAGAAGACAGAGATTCGTGTGCCCAGTTAGGAGTAGACTCCTGACTCGAAATACATTTGTGAGACGTTAAAATTCAATTTTGCTTCGATACAGCTAAGTTTGTGTTCTAATGTTCAGACTTTTTTTTTTTTTTTATATTATTCAACATTTATAAAACATTTTAAAAAGTCAAATCAAAATAATTTAACATAACTCAACCCACACAGTAGAACAGATCTTCCAACGCGCTTGAAGGAGGCACAGTCCCCAAGATACTGGCTACGTTGCCTCGTTGGACAGCCAGACTCACTCTCTGTGCAAAGTACCAGCCAGCCTTAGCATCATGTGTAACCTCCTTCAAGCGTTTGGAGATTTCTGTTANCACAGTAGAACAGATCTTCCAACGCGCTTGAAGGAGGCACAGTCCCCAAGATACTGGCTACGTTGCCTCGTTGGACAGCCAGACTCACTCTCTGTGCAAAGTACCAGCCAGCCTTAGCATCATGTGTAACCTCCTTCAAGCGTTTGGAGATTTCTGTTAAAAATTTCTTTGCTTCAGGGCCCCAAGGGCCCATCGTCTCAACCGCGAAGATTTCAGATGTTCAGATTTTTGAATTAGGTTTCTCAAATATTATTCCTAGTATTTTCGAGTCATAAGCATCGGATAATATTATTTGTCTTTATACAGAGCGGTGATGATGTCACCTTAAATCGTTCTCTACAACCTATATGACTGGTATTCGAATCTTGCAAGCAGGTACTGACTGACATACAAGGAAATACACACAAATCAAATTCTAAGATTTATAAATTTGCGTATTCACTGGTGGGAAGACGTATTGTAAGGCCAAACGGGTAAGTACCACCAGCCTGTCTATTTCTATTGCAAAGCAGTCACGTTCTTGGTTGGAAGGGGTGATAACTCTTATACATTCCATCTGAGACTTCGTTCTTACATCCCAAGGCAGCTGCAAGCATAAAGATTGTGCTATCTCTTGGCCCTGGTAACTGCTTAACAGCAGGTGCTCCGTCAGCCCATTCACACGTTAATGAAATACAAAACTATTCTAAAATAAAAATAGGAACATCTAGTGATCATAATATTAAAATTTCATTTCATTCCTAAGCAGAAGTATGTACTTAAGGAACAGCTGAATATTGGCCGAGATTTTTTTTTTGTTTATGATACTAGGTCACCCCAGTAACACTGAATATATTAGTTGGAGTAAAATATCTTATTTTCCATTTAGGGACGAGCTACACTAGTAGTACAAATCTCCAGTGGGAGGTCCTTAAATAAGTTCAGTAGGAAGGTCTCGGGTGTGGAGAGATGATGCGACAACTTAAGAGGCATTAAATTTGCTCAACTACAACGCTACATGAAGATTACAACCACTCTGAAAATCGAACCGAAGAAAAAAAACGATATACCTTGTATGTTTCATTTTTTTTAGCTACAAAATGTGAAGAAAGTCCTGTGGTATCTAGAACGTTCGACACGTATCTTCGCTATGTTAAAGAAATGTCTGGTACGTAACCTATTTTCTCAATGAATACATGGCCTTAGTCTTTCGTAACTGAGAAATTTGTTATTTTCATTTATTACCTGCCGTCTACGATATTTTTCGGAGCGTAAATTATGCATACCATTAAATAGATATTAAATAAAAATAATATTTCATTTCTTTAAAATAAAGAAATAATTTAAAATAAAACAAGAAGAATATTGTACGGGTCTCTACATTAGTATAATGTAAACTCAAATAAAAGGTTTTTTTTTGTTTTTTGTACGTTTATTGGATTCACATCGGTATGTAATCATCCTGAAAAAAAGATTTTTTTTAAATATCTTACACTAATTAATTGAAAGCATTTTTATTGCCTTAACAGATCAAGTAGCTTACGCCCCATCTTATAGTAGATGCTCACTGATGGTCATTAAAATACCAATATGGCTGACTTCTACTGATACCTCTTTACAAACTTTATTTGAAGAAGGAAATATTAAGCAATCAGGGTACACGGTTGAGGACATTTCATGCCAGAGTCAGATGATGCGTCTAATTATAAGTATCTACTGTAGATGGTTGAGTTGAAGAGTTGAAGAAAGGCGTGAGATCAGTCGATAATGTGGACGAGTATACTACGCTCTCCAAACTAATCCAACGACAATGTAGAAGAGACAAAAATTACTACCTCGAAAACATATGCACCGAAATAGAACACCATGCGGATCAATATCAGACCGGCGATCTCTTCAGAAAAATTAAACAAATAACCCGTAAGTTCAAACCATCCTCATGGGTGATAGACGACAGAGAAGGCAATCCCATCCACGATATTGCAAAAGTCACAGAAAGATGGAGGGAGTACTGTGAAGAACTATATCAGGACGAGGACGCTAGTTGTNATGGTCACTGGGAAAGTAGAAGGAAAACGTCCTAGAGGCCGGAGCCCCAAACGTTGGTCCGACCAGATCTCCGAGCAAACCAGCGGACCACTTAGCGCTGCACTACACCAGGCAACTGACCGGAACCGATGGAGGCTGACAGTAGACAAGCTAAAACGGAGTCACGATCCTCAGCAATGAGGGAGCGATGGAGAAGAAAGACTGTAGATGGGTGTAGTGGTTTCAGATAGTATGGACGAATTCATCTTAATGAGCGGGTTGGTCAAAAGTTGCACCTGCATTGAAATCACTTTGAAACTGTAAACATATTATTTTTTGTATCTTTTTTCATTTATTTATTGCCGTATAGGCAGACGAGCATACGGCCCACCTGATGCTGAGTGGTTACTGTCGCTTATGGACGTCATCAATGCCAGGGGTAGGGCCAAGCCGCTGCCTACCGTTTAATACTCTCCACAAGCCTCGCTTGAAGAAGAACATGTCATAACGCTCGGGAAACACCGTGGAGGGGAGCTCATTCCATAGCCGGATGGTACGTGGCAAAAAAGATCTCTGGAAACGCACTGTGGATGAACGTAGTGGATCCAGGTAGTATGGGTGAACTCTACTCCGGTGGCGGGCGATGCGATGGTAAAAACGAGACGTTGGTATAATCTCGAACGATTCCTCAGAGCACTCCCCTTGGAACATACGGTACAGAATACAGAGGAACCCGAAGTCCCTCCGCAGACCCGGATGTTCCAAACGATCCGTAAGAGCTGAAAGCCTTCTATTATTTTCTAGTGTGTTTTAAAAACGAAACAGACTCTAGAATACAAAGAAAACGTATGCTTTCCGTCATTCTCATCAGAGAACGTCAGTGTTAGCTCTGCGTTCGGGCTATACTATAACTTTCTTGAAGTACTTTACTTAAAGTGTACCTGATTGAAATACCACCACTTTCTTCCAAAAAATAGATCTGCTCCCGAAGGATTCATATCGTGAAGTTTGGGAGCGTATGGGTTTACGTTCATATGTTCGCCATCCATCTGCAAAAAGTTAACTTTGTCAATTTCCAATTTCGGGCAAAATGAAATATCTCTAGGCTATGGCTAATCATTTTGTTGATATAGAATCGGGTATTTTATAAAAATCATGAATTTTCGCATTAGACCTGTAACTGGGTAAGTTCATGTCTAAATCCGCTGCAATATCTATTTGGACGTCATTATCTATTATGTCCAAAGTGCTAAGACACTGCGAAAGTTTAATTCTTTTTAGCGGCATAAATAAATAGGGCAGATCGGATAAAATAAGATTTACACTAAAAATTATGCTTGTTGCTTCAATACTCACGTCATGTTTCCACATCCAGTTCTGCTCGTATTTGTCGTCGTGTATTGTGTAAGGGTTCCCTGGGTTCGTCTCGAAGTCGGACGAGCTTGAAGATGAGTCCGATGATTCACTCGAGTACATAGAGTCTCGGTCTCTGAACGAGGATTTATGGTGTTTACGCGATCTTCTGTGTACTTTCTCCTGTGGGATTCGAACGAGTGGGCATATCTTGATTGGATGATAGCAAAAGAATAGGCAGCTGAATCTGTCACTTGATAAAAATCGTTCCTTGCCTGTCGTAATATACAAAGAAACGGCAATTTATATGAATAATAATAATAGCCGTCATCACGTAGACTATACATTAGACACTGTATAGCCATCATACTAAGACTATACATAAATAACAAAAATCTTATGTTACGGACGTTTTTTTCCCGGTTAGGGTACCCCTCTGCATCGTCCCATATGGAACTTCGTTCCAAATACTTTTCGCCTCTTTTGAAGGTACATAATTTATTCATTCCATTAATTCAGATTCAGAAATCAAATACCCAGTTTTGGACGAATATTTTCTTGAGTGAAAAGCTTAAATTACCAAATTCCAAATTGCGTGTTATTCTATTACAGTGTACATTAAGTTCTATGTACATATATTTATCTATCGAAGTTTTGTTGTGTTAGTATTCGTAAGATATTGTATAATGCTTTAACTAATTAACTAGTTAACTTTAATCAAACTTACGTCATTTATCTCGAAATCTGTCCTGAAATACATAACAAGCTCTTTGTGTTTTCCGGTCATGTTATTCACGATGATAAAATTGCCTCATTTGTAGACTATCTACCAAATTCCATTCAAATCTGTTCAGCTACAATATTTTTGAGTTTGATTGACTAACAAATATTCAAGCAATCTTTCGCTAGTATAAAGTAAATTTAAATTACGTGTCCATATAAGAAATGTGTTGTAATTTTAATTAGTTGGGAATATTTTTTTACTATGGTAGGTGGCGTACGAGCAGTTTCAACAAATACACACACACATACATGTTATGAAAATAAACAACTCACTCATCTGTAATCTCGTGTCTATATAAGAAATGTGTTGTAATTTTAATTAGTTGGGAATATTTTTTTACTATGGTAGGTGGCGTACGAGCAGTTTCAACAAATACACACACACATACATGTTATGAAAATAAACAACTCACTCGTCGGTGATCTCGTTTGCATTATTTTCAAGTTCAATAGCCTGTATATGAAATATATAAATATGAAATCGGGTAATTTTAAATTTAATTACTTTAGAAGAATGCATAAGAATATTATAACCTCATTTCTTTCCGGAAGAAACGGTAGAGTGCCGTAGCCCACCCCGAGATGTGAGGTCAAAGTGGTAATAATGTCTGCTACGACCATAAACAGGAACGCCAGGCTGCTTCGAACATCACCGATAGATGGCGTTAATTAGAGGCAGTTAAATCGAATATAACCGATAGATGGCGTTACTTATAGGTTGTTAAATTGATGCACTTTTGCAGTCCACTATACATAACAAAACATTCAGAGACAGCATCATAGGTCCAGTGAAGCTGGAATAACCTCTTGAAGCTACTAGTATAAGTAGGCATAAAAATCACCATAACGCGGCCGTATTATCGCTAAAACTAATCTCATGCGGATAAAAAAAAATTAAGCAGCTATGAGCCTATAGGAGCTAATTTTAGCAAACATATCGCGGTTTAGATATATATTGTTATATAAATATTATAAATTGATTCTATTGTAATGAAAAATGCATCATAACATCTATTAACCTTTACATAAACAAATAAAAGTATCGGGCACGATTCTCAATAAAAGGTTGCTTGGAATAATGTTATGATCGTAAAAGGCAGACAAGCAGTATTGGTGGCAGGACTTCTTGTGAGTCCGTACGGATAGATACCACCACCCCGCCTATTTCTGTCGTGAAGCAAATACGTAATGCGTTTCGGTTTGAAGGGTGCGGCAGCCGTTGTATATTGAGACCTTAGAACTTATATCTCAAGGTCAAGGCCATTTACGTTGTAGATGTCTATGGGCTCCAGTAACCACTTAACACCAGGTACATCCATCTAAGCATTAAAAAAAAAGCAGGCAATCCCATGTTCTGTTTAGAGGATGCGGCTTCCCACGGAAATGAGGTCATAAATCTAAATTGTATTCAAATGACGGTCAATAAAATTAAAAATTAAAATTGCAATATATTATGTATTGCACGCAATGGAAACGTGTGAAAGTATGCGGTCAACGACCTCGTGTATTCATCAGTCACCGCCATTAACTCGGCCAAGACTAAACACACTAAAGGTGAACTTTCTACAATGATATACTATATTTTTTGGTTCGTTTAGCATTTAGTATTATGTTTAGGCATGGATCTACGAAATAAATATCAACTATGATTTGTGTAATATTTAATCTAAATACTTCATTATACTAAATATAATTATTTAACAAGAAAAACTTACCTGTATGTAATCTTCTTTCGGTGGTCCAAATCTGTTCGATTAGTTAAATTATATTAGCTTAACTATCCCTTTCCATTTAAACTTAAAAAAAAACATTCCTAAAAAGTTTTTAAGTTATCAAAGTACCTACTTTGTATTTGAATTTCGAAGGTCCATTATTATCTGCAAAATAAAACTTTTGAATATATAATTATTTTAACCTTCTTCTTCTTCTTCTTCTCAATCGTGTCACTCTTGACTCAGTGGTCGTGATCGTCATGTAGTGTTGGAAGGGGCAGACTTGATGTGTCTCACGATGTCCCACCATCTCTCCCTGCTCAAGGCCATTCTACTGCACTCATTTAGGCGACCTCCCACTGTAGCTACTGGTGGTAGGACCTTTTGTGAGTCCGCACGGGTAGGTACCACCACCCCGCCTATTTCTGCCGTGAAGCAGTAATGCATTTCGGTTTGAAGGGTTGGGCAGCCGTTGTAACTACACTGAGACCTTATAACTCATATCTCAATGTGGGTGGCATCATTGATGTTGTAGATGTCTATAGTCTCCAGTAACCACTTAACACCAGGTGGGCTGTGAGCTCGTCCACCCAATTAAGGAATAAAAAAAAAGTTTTAATTTGGTCGGTCCACCGCATTGATGACTTCTCACGCGGTCTTGTACCATCAACCCTTCCCTGTACAACGAGGCGTTCTATGGACCTACGAGTAGTAATTAAATGACATTAGAATTATCTAAGCTTGTAATAAAAATTTGACACTTAAAGCTTACGAATATATACAACTAGTATGAGATAGAACATAACATATCGTTTTTAGCATATACAAAGTAAATGTTGTACGAAACCATAGCTTCTTAAAAATCAAATTAGTGAGTGTCCATTTTTTAATAATATTTAACTTTAATTCAGCTAATCTAGTTTATTTTTTAAACGAATGATAACCGAAGGAAATGGTTCAATAAAATGAAATGAATGTTTTTTTAATACTGTTACTGTTACTGTTGTATACTATTTTGATGATACTGACATAAATGACTTAAGTCTCAGATCCATATTAAAAATGTTTTCTGCAAGCGTGATTGTTATTAAAGAAAAACAATGCCAAGAAAGAGTTATAGATTAATATAATATGTAGTTATACCGAAGATTAAGGCTTTACTAGAAGTAACATCGTAAAATGTTTAACTTACTAGGGGTTTATTCCTGTGAATACTAAAGATTATATTTTATTATTAAAAATAAAAATCTAGTAAATTTTTTTTATTAAAGAATCCTAATTTGGAATATAGTTCTATATTTACGATCATTCTTGACACAATAATAATTTAGTTTAAATTATCATTTGGTTATATTGCGCTGCAATACAAGTCTCCGTATTTCATCTATCGGATTCACGAACCATTTTTTTTATTGCTTAGATGGGTGGATGAGCTCACAGCCCGCTTGTTGTTAAGTGATTATTGGAGCCCATAGACATCTACAACGTAAATGCTGCCACACTCATTCAGATATGAGTTCTAAGGGCTCAGTATAGTTACAACGGCTGCCTCACCCTTCAAACCGAAACGCATTACTGCTTCATGGTAGAAATAGGCAGGGTGGTGGTACCTACCCGTGCGGACTCACAAGAGGTCATACCATCAGTAATTACGCAAATTATAATTCTAAAATAACTGCTTCGAAGCAATTTATAATGGGTCAAAATCGGTCATATAGGCAGCACCATCATCGCTATCATCATCATCAGCCTACAGTCGTCCACTGCTGGACATAGGCTTCTTCCAATCCACACCACTGAGCCCGGTCTTCGGCTCTCCTCATCCACTTCTGGCCGGCCATCGTTCGGAGGTCATCGCACCACCTAGCCAAGGGGCGTTCCACGTTGTCCGCTGCGTGGTTTCCATTCGAATACATGAAGCACCAAAATTCTCTACTTATAAAGTAGATAATTTTGAAACGCTTGATCTATTAACCTCTCTTAAACTATATTCCTATCCTTACTATTTCAGCCGTGAAGCACTAATGCGTTTCGGTTTCAAGAGTGAGGCAGCTACTTTAACTATACCGAGACCTTAGAACTCATATCTCAAGGAGGTGGCGGCATTTACCTAGATATCTATGGGCTCCGGTAACCAATTAACACCAGGTGGGCTGAGATTTCGTCTAATCATCTCTGCAATAAAATAAAAAAGGGTGTACTTATGTACGCGCGCAAGAAGTTATACTTTATTTTTATTAAATTTATTTCTTTTTTTTTAATTGAAATTTTAATCAATTTGAAAAAAAATCGATTAAACAACATCCTCAAACACGCATATTGGACATCCTTTTTCTTGACATCGTATAAATTCGGTAATTCTTGGTACGGTTCGGAAAGTTCAGCTGCGGCTATATTCAGACTCGCCAAGTTACGTCGGTCGTATTGTAATGAGCGATTTAGTGGGCAACTTCAGTCTGTTAATTTTGTGTCACGGTGCGCGCGCATCGTAATATTTCACTCTCGTCAATTTTTCATAACGCGCCTAAAGAAGTATAACTTCAAATATATTGCTTTTAAAGATTTTAACAGAATAACTTAATACAAACCCATTAAAGTTATTCGACTTGATCGCCCTCCAAATTCTCTGTAATATATTTAAGTGAAATTAAATATTAAAGTACAATGGAGTTTACTTAAAAGGAATTTTACTTACTAATAGATCGGCCTTCCGGAAGTTCGCATGAAGTAACCGATCTTTGGTCTTGCCATATCTGAAAAATTAACAGAATTAGAGGCTTTATGGAATTTTGTTACTGCGATCAGAATTTTAATCAGATGTAAGCCACGTTAATGTCGCCACCAAGCTTGAGATATGAGTTCTAGGTCTCAGATTCTAAAGTACAAATGCTGCCTCAATCTTCAAACCGCTACGCTGTAATGCTTCACGGCAGAAACGGGCCAGGTGATGGTACCTACCCGTGCGGACTCACAAGAGGTCCTTTTTTTTTTTTTTTTTTTTTTTTTTTTTTTTTTTCTTTTTCTTTTTTTTTTTTTTTTTTTTTTTTTTTTTTTTTTTTTTTTTTGGG